GTCAAACAAGATAATAGAATGAGGGAACTGGAGATTTGGAGGGAAGAGACTAACATTTTCCATTTCTAGATGGAGAAAGAAGACCCACAGAAAGCAAGCCACAATCACAAACTTGAAATCTTGCCCAATAACTTACAGTCCCAGAATGATATGCCATTGATAAAAAGGTTGTTTTTACTTTTTTTTAAAAAAAAAGTGCTTCCGAAAAACTAAGCACTACAGACAAGAGGTAGTGTGAGCACTATATTTCGGCAAATAAAATCCAAATCTTCTTATCATTTCCCCTAATGGAAATGACAACAAGCACAAGCAAAATGCCATGTGATTTGAAAGATAGCAGGACCCAGCTCACCAGATCTCCTGTTATTACTGATTGAATCCTCCCAGCTATTATACCTTGGAAAAATATTAACGTGTTCAGCCAACAAAGACAAATATAAAAGGAGAGGAAGCAAGGGCTACTGTGCATTGCAATGCCACCTGATATTCAAATGTGTTCTTCTGAGCTGTGTCTAACACCAGCATCATTTTTTTAAAGAGACATATCAGTTTCAGTCAAGGTTTTTATTTCTCTTTCCCCATTCTTCACTGCCCGGATGAAAAGGGGGGGGAACAAAAAGAATTACTAGCTACATTACTTTTTAATTTAATGCCCTTGAGTAAGGACAATAGCAAGGAGACATGCTAGACCTTTCGGGGAAGACAGCAATGGAGAACAGCTGCCAGTGCAGCATCTTCCATGAATATGGTTGCAGCAGCTGATTCTGCCCTCCTCTCAAGGTAATGCCTTGCTTCCCATTGTCATTGCATCTCAGAATCGAATTATTTGAATTCCAGCCACATCGACAGCACACTGACGGGCCCCTGCCAATTTTTGCAGCTTGCTTGGAAAAGAGCATCGCAAAGCATCACTCATTTATATGACTCCCAGGCTCCTGTTGTAAATTCAGTGTGCAGGAGGGCCTGCAGGTGCGGCCTTTCAGCTTAGTGCTCTAATCCTGTAACCCTTTACCACCAACTCCTTCCCTTAATGTGTGCAAAAAAAAAAAAAAAAAAATCCCCAGGTCCTCCACCTCTTTGAGCTTCTGTTAGTGCAGATGAAGGCCACAATCCCAGAAATGTTTTGCCTCATTCAAGCTTAGGAGGGCCGCCCCAAAGCACAACACACTGAATGGTCCCCACAGCCACCCACCAACATTTTCATGAAGATGAAGTCTGGTTAAAATGAACATCTGTCTTCCAATAGTAAAACAGCTGATGATGGCTTATCTCTTGTTGGGATAGGAGGAAGCTATTAGCAAGGGTGTTTTTGAAGGTTTTTTATGACCCAGGGGGGATAAATTTCACAATATAAATGCAAAAATATCTGCTGTATAACCCCCATATTATATGTTTTATAGATGAATGGAGGTATACATATTTCTTAGAAAAAATACATCCACATTAACAGTGATTAAGTTTTCTTTATCTTTTTCTTTATTTTCTAAACCACAAAGGCACTACTTTTATATTTTATATTCAGGAAAGTAAGTGCTGCTTATAAAGAAAATGTTCAAAGACTTCTTTAAAAATGGTTTCAAAAGGTCCACTACACAGAACCCTATTTTTCTTTTTTTCTCTTTTCTTTTTTTTCCTTTTCTTTTACTTTTTTTTTTAAAGGTTAACAAAGGTTTATTTACAAGGGAAGGGGAATGAGGAAATATACAATTCAGAGAGAAAAGAGGGAGATAAATTCTTATATGTGTCCTACCTGTTCCACCGACCTGGAACAGAACCCTATTTTTCTTAGTACCATGGGGATCCTTATCACCTTGTATTTGGAACCCAATTATATCCTTTTAATCACACGAGGCAGCATTTTAGGATATCAAAACCCTGAGACCAGACATGCAATTCCCAAACCAGGGCTACATCCCACCAAAATAGTAGGATATTTTTGTGAGAGAATACTACATTAGATTTTACAAAGATGAATTTTAGCTCTTTATACATTGATAAATGATGTACAAAATTCTTTCATATGCTCATCAGTCAGTTTCAATGGTACATGTCTACTCAGCTGTGGTACTTCCTACTGATTAATTCTTCAAATCACATGAGATATCTAGAACCTTGCCGTTCCAGGTATCTAATGTTGGGATATGACAAGGAGCCTGTCAGGAATGCAGAATTTCAAGTATCAAAATTACTTAGAATTTGCATTTTCCTAAGATCTCCAGGTTCTTTATATACACATGAAAATTTGAGAAGTGCTGATCTAGAATGCTGAAAAGGCTATGGTAGTTTCTCAGCAATATAAACCATTCTTTTAAAAATAATATTTTTGGTGGACTAGGGGTTAAACCTCCCTGGTGGACTAGGGGTTAAGCCTCAGCGCTATCACCTCTACAGCCTGAGTTAGATACTTGGCCAGGGAGGTGACCCACATATGATACAACAGACCTCTCCTGTCTAGCCTGCTGCTCCCCTCAGCAGTGTATTTTGGAAGATCCACCTGTTCTTCTCACAACTCTGTCTCTGATGAGTCCTCTCACCCCCTGCACCTCTGGCCTGCACCCCAGTTCTTCTACGCTAAATAATATTATTGTTGCCAAATAGAAAGAAGAAGAAATAGAGTTTGCATCATAAGTGGATTGTGGAAATAACATTTGAAATGAATCTCTTCTCTCTGGTGTTTTTACATTGGAGAAGTGGCGGGGGGGTGGTCAATGTCAAGAAATTACAATTTGTTGAGCAATCATAATTTTTTGAAATTATCCTAAATTTATTTTTCTTGAAAGATTTTCTTAGCCTATTATATGCTTTTAAAAGAATGATACACGTTGTCTTTTGGTTTCTGTCTAAATTTTCTTATAACATTAGTTTTATTATCGCTCCAAATTTGTATTGAGCAATGCATTTTGCAGAGGATTTTTTTAAAGTAATACTTTTGACTTGCATTTTTGAATCTGTATTTTTATTCATATCATCAACATGCATTGTATACTCCCTCTAATTAAGTTTTAGTAGCAAGATGGCATCTAATCAATTTTCTCATCTCATGTGCAACAATGTTTTTAAATTTTATGTTCCATAAATGCATTTTCAATATACACAAACATTTGGTTGAAGCAAAAAGAGTAATTATATAATATCTTAGATAAAAAAAATTGGTACTATCAAAATAGATTTTTGCCACATCGCTCAATAAAAATATAGAATGCGCTAGAATTTTTTGAGGTCCTTTTGTTGCAATCCATTATGCTCTTTAAATATACTTGTGGTATTACTTATACAGCTTTTCTCTAAATTCAATTTTTGGAAGTAGTCTTGTGAAAGTGTGTATGTACTTTTGTCATCTATTAGACAACCCCTGTCTAAAGAGTCACATATGAAATGCTTACTGTTTGTAAAACCACAAATCTAATAACATTATCTGTTCTATGGCTTATTCCAGAGGTCATATAAAAAATAACTCAGCAATACCTTTTGGGTATGGCAAATAAACAGATAATGGGACGTGCAAAGTGAAATGTGAAATATTAAATCAGCCAGTGCACTAAAAACAACAGGGATTTTTAAAAAACACTCACCTATCAGCATATCAATTAGAAAACCATTTTCTTGTTTAGAAACAGAAATATTTTTAGATGCCATTAGATCTATCGTTGTTGTTTTGATTATTAACTCATTTTTCCTTTGTGCAAGGAAGTACCACAAAATACATGAAGCCACTTAAGACATTTTACTGCCATCTGTTGGGAAGTTGTAATATACAAATCACCCATCTTCATGATAAATAATAACAAGCATACGAAAGTATTTAGAATAATAAGGTATTGCTAATGTGAATGGTGTCCTCTTACATGAGGACTAAGTGTGGTGTGCAGGGTCCAAAGAAAATAATAATGTCTCTGCCCCAATACCAACTTCACCCAGATTTACTCTTATTTTCAATCTTCTGCAGGAGAAAAATTTCAGTTATAAAAGCATTCTTGGGGTTCAGCCTGGTATTGTTCATTCATATTTTGGTTGGGAAACTTTTACAGAGTGGCCACTCATGCAGCAAGTCAGAATAGGTGTCTTTCTCCTGACTTGTTTTGCTTAGCATAATCCCTTCCAGTTCCATCCATGTGGTTGCAAATGGCAAGAGTTATCTTTTTCTATCACTGTGTAGTATTCTATTATGTATCTACACGTCTTCAAAACTCACTCAACTGTCATTGCATACTTGAGCTGTTTTCAGAACTTGGTTATTGTAAATAGTGCTGCAGTGAACATAGGGGTACATGCATCCCTTTATTTTAGTGTATTTGCATTCTTTGGGTCCATACCTAGGAGTGGAATTCCCTGATCATATGGTAGATCTATTTTCAGTATGTTGAGGAACCTTCATACTTTTTTCCATAAGGGTTAGATCAGCCTACACCCGCCCTAACAGTGTACCAAGCTTCCTTTTTCTCTACATCCTTGCCAGCACTTGTTTCTCTTCTTTTTGGTCTCGGCCAGTCTCACAGATGTGAGATGGTACCTCATTGTGGTTTTTATTTCTATTTCCCTGATAATAAGTGAGGATGAGCCTTTTTTTATGTGCCTATTGGCCATGTTGTCATTGGGAAAATACCTATTTAGCTCTTCTATTTTTTTAGTGTTTCTTTTCTTTTTTTTTCTTTTTTCTTTTTTTTTGTATTGTTGAATTGTGTGTTCCTTGTACATATTGGATATTAGCTTTTTGTCAGATGTGTTTCCTGACAAATATGTTCTCCCACTCAGTAGAGTGTCTTTTTGTTTTAATGTTAGTTTCTTTCGCTGACAACATTCCCTTTTATCAAGAACTTTCTCTCCCTGTTGCAGCTATATTTGGAATACATTTGTGGTGTTTTTAATACCATATTTTGGTTTATTAGACTCAACATTTAAAAATAAGGGGGAGGCAGGGATAGCCTGTGGGGGCCAGGTAGTGAATGGCTGGCAGTTGGAATGGAATGTGCAGGTCCCGAAAGACAGTTAGAAGGCAACCCCGACCGGGGAGGTGGGATGTGGGGAACAGAGGCTAGAGAGGTACTAAGGGCAAAAATCTCAGAGGTAGGAAGAAAGGATAAATAATAGCTTGCTGAGCAGAAATAGGGAAATTGGAAGGGGGATATGATCTGAGAGAGTTTAATCTGCCTTAACCGTACTTGAGGCAGAGAGAGGGGCCAAGGGTACAGGCTTCTGCCTTCTGATCTCATGGTCTGGTGAAGCAGACAGGAAAGATACTAGCCTGCAAGACTGAATGAAAGAAATTCACTGACAAACTGGCAAAATCAATTGCTGGATGCCAGAGAAAGGGGTTTGAAGTAAGTATGGGACTCTGATCCTGGGGTGAAGGGTGAAGGTAAGTCATAGGAAGAGTGTCTGGCAAGCTCAGAGGTGGGAGGTAGGATGGGAGCTGAGACTGGGGAAATAAATACACAGCACTTTGTGAGTAAATGAAGTAGGAAAAGGAAGAACCACTTCGGCACTGGCTCTGTCCTTGCAGCTGTGTCTTCTTGGACTGTTCTCACCCTCTCTGTGCCTTAACCCTGCTGTCTTTTGAATGGGTCCTATTAAAGTACCAGTGGTATTAAAGTAAAATGCAGGGAGCATTGCTGGTGCCTGGTCAGGGTTCAGCTGATGCTGGCCAATGCAGCTGTGGGTGCACTGGGGGCAAAGAAGTAGCTGGAGAGGCTGTCAGCAGCATTGAGGCCATGCACTACCGTATAAGCTTGGGGAGGAGAGGATTTAAGGAGAATGGAGTGGGGATGCTTACAGGGAACACAGATTGAGCACAGGAATGTATTCCTTCCTCAAGGAACTGTGATCAGCTCACATTTACAGAGGAGGAAACTGAGGCTCAGAGTCGCGGAGATGGAACTTGAATCTTTGCTCAGCTCTACAGCCTACGTGCTCACGTTGCCCCTGAGGAGCCTGCAGAGAAGGTGAGGGGGATGAAGGTGAGGAGGGGTCTGCCTGCATGAGGGGAAGGGGTGTGGCACTGAGCACTGAGTGGGGCTACAGCCTGGTGTCTGGGCGGAGCTGTGGAGAGCAGATGGAGTTGGTGATGTAATCACTCTTCTGAGAACTTTGGCCAGGTAGGAGGTAACAGTTTTGGGGCACAAAAGTGTCATAGAGGGGGTTATTCTAGGGCAGGAGTCATTTTCAAGTAGAGAGGAAAAAAAAGAAGGGGATACTGGAGAGGCTGTAGGCTGCCACAGTGGAAAAAAGCCCTTTGGAATGTGGGAAGAGTTGAAAGCAGGGCCACAGCTAAAAGGACCTTAGTTCTGGACAAAAGAGAAGGCTTTGATTACTGGGTAGCACCACTGCCCACTCAGTGGGGCAACAAGCTGAACCCCACCTTGAGACACAAGTGTAGCTGGTAGGACACATCCGACTGGAAACCTCAGCATTTGAACAAGGACTTGGGGAGGTCAGGAGAGAGAAGGCAAGCTGGGTCTCTGCTGGGAGTCAGGCCAGCTGACCCTCTGTCCATCCGCACCCCCTTCTGTCCAGGCTAGCCATGAATTGTCAGAACAACTAAAGCCTCAAGATTTAACAAAATAATGATTCCATCTTCACTGAGGCGCCTCAGTCTGTGAGGGGGACCAGCAGGTGGACAAGGCTGTCCTGGGTGAAGTACAAGATGCTGTGGGCTCCACCCCCGAGAAGTCAGAGCAACAGTGAGGTCTGAGCTAAGAGCTGAAGAAACTAGCTGTGGGATGGGTGAAGAAGGTGAAAGTCTGCTCCTAGAGTCAAATGATTGGAGGAAAGGATGCAGTACTCTCCAGAAACTGTGTGACAGTCGCTGCTGCAGGGAGCACAGGCTGGGGGTAGGAGGAGAAGCTGCTCTTCATGTTATTGAGGTTAATGGGGTCACTGATGCCATTTGAGCAAGGAGAGCCATGCTGGGAGTGATTTTGAAAGCTGCACCCATTTCCCCAGCAGGCTATGAATTGAAGGTGCACGTGATTGAGGCAGGAGACCCAGAGAGAACTGCATGGTCCTGCGGGGGACAGGGGACTCTGGCAGCGATCACCGAGTGGAATGGCAGACTCAACACATGGCCCAGAGAAGGAGTCTTGGGAGTCTTGGCAATTGCAAGGATGATCGTGCCTTTGGGGGCCAGGGTTCTGCTGGGGGAGGGATGGGAATTTTGTATGAGTGAGGAGAAGAGGCCCAGTTTTAAAACTGGGTTTTGATGCACATGGGGGCTAACCTGGGCGGTCAGGGACCACAGGCACCTGGAGCAGTGGGATGGAGGTCTGAGGAGGTCTGCGAAGGATGCCTGAAGCTGTCTGCACAAAAACAAAGTCCCAGATCTGGCTGGCGTGAGGGGAAAAGCCCCATCTGGCCTCCCCAGAGAACAGGAAGCTGCTAAGCCTGGGATAGACCAGTGAGCTACCAGACAGGTTTGGTTTGCTGTTTTAAGGAGGAAGAGACTTGAGCTTATTTAGACGCTGACCAGAAGGAGCCAGTGGCAAGTGTGGGACAAGATCCCAGGGGAGAGAGTGGACAGTGAAGGGACAGATATCTCTGAGAAGTCAAGTGGAGGGTCAGGATCTGCCTTGGGTATGATGACAGCTGGGAAAGGGGCAGGTAGGAGGACAGAGGCGACAGGCCTCTCCCACAGGTGCTCTGCGATGAGGGGAGAGTACTGAGCAGAGACGCCTGGAGAGAGCACCAGGCAGCTCAGAGGTCAGGGCTCAGCTTGGGCACCGTCACTCCATGGGGGGCAGAAGAGGGTCATTTTGGGCTATTTTTGTCACAGGACTCTGCAGCTTAGGTGCAGGGGAGGAAACTGAGAGAAATCTGAGACGTGGGGGCCACATACAAAGGAAGGGCCATGATGGCCACATGTCCAAAGAGCAGACAGACAGGTACGACTGGAGAAAGGGGCAGCAATCTTGGCAGACGTCTGCACACGGGTCAGAGGGGTTTGGGTAGCCTCACCATGGGAGTGGCGAGGGGGCTGTAAGGAGCCTCCTCGAAGAGTCCTCAAGGTGAGGTTTGACCACTGGCTTTTTGACCAGAAGAGCAGAAAATTAGGCAGAGGGGCCCCCTGGTCAGTAGCCAAGCTCGGTGAAAGAGGATTTGTTCACGAGGACAGCTGAGGTGCTCTCCCCTCACCACCCCCCGCCCACCCCCCCCCCCCCACATCAGGGAGGGAGCTCCTGGTGGCTTTGCAGGAGGAGAGGAACTGGCGAACATGGAGTGACCCCGGTCTCCTGGCTCTGCTCATGCCCCAGCATAAACTACCCTCAACACAACACTCACGGCCTAAGCCATCCCCACCCTGCCAGGGCTCCTCATGGACAGGAAACACTTGCCCACCCGGGACATCTTTCATGCTCACGACCTGGTGGAAGGTGCGCCTGGTGCCCATCTTAGGTGTCAAAAGAGCTGAGTGGAGGGACTAAGATTCCGCAGTAAGATCACACAGCTAGTGTGGGTGCACCCAGTCTCCCTCCACCCCCAACTCTATTCCTATCCTGCTTACAGCCCCTTTCGCGCAGGTTCCCATGCACACCGCAGCTCCCTGCCCTGGGCTCACCTGGCAAGTGACAGAGCAACAGGGTGGATCACCTCCACCCACTCCCACTGAAGGTGCCTGGAGGAAACTTCCCCACCTGCTGACTGAATTCATGACCTTTAACTCAAGCAGCCTGGGGCATCTGGGCCTCTGTCAGGTCCTTGATGGCCTCACGCTCCCTGATGATGGTTTCGCACTGTCTCATCTGACCTCGCCCCTCCTGGAAGCACCCCGGGCCCCAGCTGCTGTGCTCTGAGGTTTACAGTGGGAAAGACTGTCTCTGACATCAGAGGTCGGCGCGGAGGTCAGGCTGAGCTTCAGACGGGGGTTCCGGCCCACCCCGAGTACATGGAGGGCCGCCCCAGAGGCCTGCCCTGCCCACGCCCCTGCCCCATCCCCAGGGCCAGCTCAGCCAGCAGTCACTCCTCTTCCCTTATTCCCCCTGTGGCATCTGCTTTTGGGGAGTACAGGTATTTGAGCAGAGGTTCTATAGATACTTTGTTTTTCTTTGGATGTGCAGGGTTGACATCTGCCCACTGTGAGGACAACAATGGGGCCCTGAGACCAGGATCCATGTGCCATAGGACTGTGACTCACCTGGGCAAGGGAGGGGGACACGAAGGGACACATGGAAGATTCACGGCCACTCCAGCTTCCGGCCTACAGAGCTGCCCTCTGTTCCACCCTGGTTGCCTGTGCCAGCTCCGCCTCAACAGCACCTGGTATTCAGGAGAAAGGCAATGTCATTTGAGCTGAGCAGCAAAACCCCTCTGAGCCTAAGTGGCCCCGGCTGACAGGGCATCAAGATTACAGGGTGGAGACATCTAACTTGGCTCCAGACTCCCCCTACCCCAGGCCACTGTCCTTTGGCTCACAAGTCTCTTTGTGAGCCAGTTTGTTTAAGGAGCTTTAAAAATATATTAGAAAGCAACGCTTTTAAGGCATTTGGTTTCTAATAGCAGTCTAGCTCCCCAACTCTGAGGCAGGCTCCTCCTTCAGGCTACAAGCCAGGGGACCTCCTTGAGTGGCAAGTGTTGCTTAAAACCACAAATCCCAGAGTTGACCCTGGCAGGCTGAGTGTCCATCAGGACGCCTGCGCATGTAGATGACATGTCTTTTACCCACGAAAGAGTCTCCTGAGAAATCAAAGTTGAAGAAGTGACAGATGTCCATAAAGTCCCCTCAGTGGAGGAGGTGGTCATCCTTCAGTGGAGTTGGCATCCTTCTGACAGGGAGACTAGGCTGGGCACTTTGCAGGAAGCGGGCTGGTTGGCTTCCCTGGCTCCCTATACGCTGCTCAGCCCCAGAAGACCCAAGTGCAAAGGCCGCACTTTCCAGCACAGGAGCTGGGGGTGGGGAAGGGTAGAGGCAGGAGACGATGCCTTGCACTTGTTTCTGAGAGCCACAAGACAGAGCTCAGGTTAAAGAGGCCACCTCTGCAGAGTCACTGTTGTAGGTGCTGGGAAGAAAGGGCCAGAGGCTGAGAAGGAAGAGCACTGCATCTCCACACCAAGACTTCACTCTGTGAAGTCCCAGGTCCTGGCAGCGTGGCCTTCTGTCCTGTCCCTCTGCCTGCCAGGCCAACTCCCTCATCTTAGTTCTCTCCCAGGGCCCTTGCCCTTACCCCATAGCAGCCACTGCCTTCGTGCAAGTCTCCTGAGCTTCCCCGGTGCCCACTTGCCTGTCCAGAGAAGGTCCAGTCTGCAATCTGAGAGCCTGCTGCCACCCTAACCCCCAGAGTGGGGACCTGGGAAATGCAGAAGGCTGCTCAGGATAGCTTGAGCTCTGACTGGCCACAGAGACTGGCGCCCTCCCTACAGACTCCCAGCCTGCCCCTGTAGGGTCTCCCATAGGGCCTGGAGTTACCAAAATGATGGTAACAAGGTCAAGATTCCAAGCTGCACTTGCTGCCTCGTCAAGTTGTTCAAATAAGACAGTGTGGGGAAGATGCCCAAGGTGAATCCAGCGCAGGAGCTGCTGGTGGGAAGGGATGTTGGGCAGACCTGGGTCTATTTTCTTCCCCATCCCTTGCAAGAATGTCCATGCCTTTTCATCTCTCATATGTCCAATAGCTCAAGCTTACCTCCCTCTCAGCGATTCCATGGCTTCCTGTTTAACAGAGAAAACCAACAAGCTACCCCGATTTTATCAATAGCCAGCTATTTCACTTAAGCACTGGGCCCTGCCCTACTTCCTACTCAAGGGCATCCCTCCTGCAATTGACCTCTATCCACCTGCACCCCACCTTTGGCATCACTTTAGAGCCCATGAAATCACGCTGAGAGAGCAAACATTGAGGTATGATTGGAATATAAAAGGCGCCCATTGTTAAGTGTAAAGTTAGATGAGTTTTGACAAATGTATACACCTGGCGTCACCACTGCCACCACTGTCAAGTTACAGAACCTTCCCACCACCCTGTAAGGAACCCCACTGCTGAGAAGTATGCCCTTGTGCGGACACCGCACAATTTGTTCATTTGCCTGTTGATAACATAATTGGGCTGTTTGTACCTTTTGGCTATTGTGAATAAACATATAATGAACTTTCATCTTTATAGTATTGTTTCTGTGGAGTAAACAGCTACTGTGGGATATCTGGGCCTCATGATAGTGCATGTTTAGTTTTATTTTAAAAACCTTTCAAGCGGTTTTTCCAAAATGGTCTACGAAAGTTCCAGATGCTTTAGTACTATTGTCAAGTTTCTCCCCTAAATGTTGCCCTCCTATCATGTGTCATATCGAGTGTGCTCATTTGGGTCATAATTTGCATTTCTAAATCTCTGATGGCTAATATTTAGCATCTTTTCCCTAGCTTATTGGCTATTCATGTCTTTTGTGAAGTGCATGTATATCATTTACCTATTGCCTTTGTTTTCTACATATGACACATTTGTCAGGTTAAACACAGAAGCGTATTTATTGTCTCGGTTTCCATGGATCAGGCACAGCTGAGCTAGGCCTTCTGCTTCGGTTCTCACAAAGCTTCAGTAAAGGTTCACTGACCTCAGCTCACACATGGTTAAGGTTCTCCAACTGACTGATTCACAACTGTCAGTTGTGAATCCTCCCAGCCATGAGGTGCTCCTTGGGTCAGGGACCACATGGCCCTGACACCAGTGGGAAGGAGAAGAATCGCTCCTTGGTGCCCTTTGACCCCAGGCTCATTTTAAACATTGATGAGCACGTACTATGGAGGAAAGAGAACTGGCTGAAGGTCAGGTCCTGCGTTCTGGTTCTGTCTTTGAGATCTCTGCAGCTGTGAGGGGGAAGCAGATAAGTTGTACTAGGTGATTCCCCAAAGAGTTTCCAGGATTCAACGCCCTTCGTTAGTGGTTCTCAGCTCCCTGTAGATCTCAATCCATCCCCTGAGAAACCTAAAGAATAGCGACACCTGTGCCCCATTCCCAGGTACATAAGATGCAGTGGCTTGAGGTGGATCCCAGGCATCCATGATTTTGCAAAAGTTGGTCAGATAATTCAAATATGCCTGCAGAATTGGAAACCAGAGATCCACAGGCTTGGCAGGACCTGCTCAACTTCAAAGCTATGGCCTCGTGCTGCCCCCTGGTGGTAGGATTGATCACACAAGCCGATTTATGCACCTAATTGTTTCAGCCTGGGGCAAGAAAAATGTATTCAAGGAAGAGGAAGAAGACCTTGATTCGGCCTCCATCCAAGGATAGGCAGAGTCACAAGCGCTTCCCCTTCCTACTACCTACAACAAATGTAGTGCCCCAGGGCTCAGTTTGAAAAAAAAAAAAAAAAACAGGGCTTTTTAAACATAAAAGCATTATTTTGTCATCCCATAATATTTACAAAAGAGAAGAAATTTTAGGGCCTCCCCTGGTGGCACAGCGGTTGAGCTCTGGGTTGCGAGGCTGCACGCGGCCTCTGCAGCGCCAGTTCCATCCCTGGCCACCAGCGAGGGTCCCACACACACACACACACAAAAAAAGAAAGAAATTTTAAAAACTGGTAGTCTTAAAGCCTGCAGTTTAATAGTAAGGCCCAGGGGTGGTGGGGAGGGGTCTTCCATATCAGTGAGTGTTTACTATGCCGCCTCTCCCAGCAGGCCCCAGATCAGGGGAGATTGTGTATTGAATGCTCACTAGTGGGCCAAGCTCTTTACCCCTAAGGTACCTTCCAACAGCAACCCCCACACCTAGTTAATTCCAACACATCCTTCAGCTCTCACCCCTAGCATCACCTTCTTAGGCAGACCTTCCTTCGCACTGCAATCAAGTCAAATGCCCCAGTTTAAGTGCCCCCAAAGCATGCTCCAGTTCTCCAGGAATCAGAATTTTAATTCATTTTAAGAATTGTTTTGGGTGAGTCAGTTTCCCCCAAATGAATGTGAGACTGATGGAGGGACTGCTGAACCAGGCAGGGCGCCTGGCCCATCACAAGGGGTTCAGTCGATCGTTATTATCCTGAAAATAAACACTGTCTTTTCTCACTGTGCCGTATTTGTCATCCCAAATTTTCCTGCCCTTAATTAAAATAAAATTCATCTCAATGGGTGGTCAGCACAGATTTTTCTTTGTATCAAAAAGAAGTCATTGGCTTCTTAGGCTAAATTGAGCTAAATTGAGATTACCCATGCCCCAGAAAGAGCAACAAAACTAATATCCGCAAAATATTATTAATCTCCACCTTTTTCCAGAAATATTTTACTCTAGTATCCTTCTCCTTGCTCCCGATGTGCCAGCTGGCTTTTCAGCTTTGTTTGTAAGAGAAAACAGACAGGGGCCTCCCTGGTGGCGCAAGGGGTTAAGACGCAACATATGAAGCTATCTGCTGCAAGAGTTTGATCCCCAGCCGGCCAGGCAGCAACCCACATGGCACAGCAGACCTCTCCTAACTCACCCGCTGCTCCCCTCAGCAGTGCATTTCAGTCAGTCTGCCTGTTCTGTTCCCCACTCTGTCTCTGGTGAATCCTCTCATCCCCCTCCCCTCTGGCCTATACCCCAGCCCTTGTATACATAAATAAATCTTTGAAAAAAAAAATCTATGTTAAAAAAAGAGAAAACAGACACGCACACTCCACCACTTGAGTCGTGGTGTATTCACTGGTCAGGCCAAATGTAGTGCTTAGCTTCTCACAATCCTATGCCTGGCCGCAGGCAACTCTGGTCAGAAACTCAAAAATGTGCTGCTTTGCCTCTCATAGGCTGGGTAACTAACAGGGCCCTGACACTGAAGACTTGGTCCCCAGATGAACAATACTGGCATCACCTCTGAGCCTGTCAGAAATGCGGGATCTCAGTCCTCAACAAAGGGAGAACATATATTTTACTAAACTCCCCGGTGCTACACAAGCACATGAAGGTGTGAGAACTCGCTTCTAGAATGCAGGTTACCAAGCTGTTCAGCATACATGAAGTAATTATCTAGATCTGGAAAAGTCTTCCACAACGCCCCACGAAATTCAATCTTAACTAGAGTTGAAAAGGCTAAAAATGTCTGACCATCATTTTCCAAGCCATTATGACTGACACGCATATTGTTGACAAAATGCCTCTGACGACAGCCCAGACTCACATCTCTTTATCTGCTTTATGTTCGTATCAGTTGAGCAAAGGGATGTCAAGGGGATAAGTATCACTGAGCCGTGGCCCTGTTTAGAGGCTTATACCTAGAAAAATAAATTAACCCCCAATTAACAATTATCTTTCACAGTAAAAAAAAATGCCTTTAGACCTTGACCTGCTTGGCTAACATTGCATGAAGCCGTGGAAAACAGGACCAAGAGTAAGGACACCAGCGCTAACAGACTCTGCAGATGCAGGGACATCTTTAGTGAAGATGGATGATAACTCATCTCCGACATGGGCGACCCGCTTGGAGCTTCTCACGTGAGAACAGCTGGTGGTTGCCATCAGCTCACTTTTGAAGCTCCAATTACTCACCAAGAAAAAAAACTGAGAATACTGGGGTTTTCGCAGGTGGTTTTCCCTCTTAGGAAATAAAAAGGATAAATAACTAAATTGGGTTTCTTCTCATGGTTTTCACACGCATTTTGATCTCAAAAACCAGGTTTCTCATTTGATTACCATCACAGAAGCTGAAAACACTTTGCACACTAAATCCTGGAATGCAGACATAAGCAAAACATAAAGGCCCCTTGCTACCCCATCAACCTCATTGTTCTCCAATACTAACCCAAACTCTAAACCAAACAAGTAAATGTTACAATTGACAGATTCTAAAAACTGTAAAAGTCCAGTTAAGCCACCTTATTTGTTCCAGTGATATTAAGGCATTAAGTAAATTGGTGTGAATCATCTTTCTTGTTCCTACCAAAGCAAAAAAGTAGCAGCAGCGTCTTGGGATTTGGAATCAAGTGCAATTATCAGCTATACCCACCACGGGTGAAACATAAGGCCTCTCCCTTATGGAACAAGACAAACAACAAAATATAAAGCAAAAGCATGTAAGGGCCGGAACCATCTCTGATTAGCACTTTCTCCAGGAGAAATCATCTTTTTACGAGGACCCAATAAGTATTCGTTGGGTGACTTGCCACAGATTACAATAAACGTTTACCTACGGACCGGTAACTAGCCAGGCAGTAAATGGGCATATTTATGCTCTTCCCTTCATTTTAGGCTGCCCCACCGCCATTGCATATGACCGTGATGAGCAGTGCAGGACTGACACAGAAGGTCAAGACAGAGGTCATCATGTCTCTCATTTGGGAGGGAGGAAAAAGAAGAGTGACAGGAGAAGGGCAGATAGTAGTTCCTGGATCTAAGGCAGAAAGACGGGCTCGCCTTAGTATAACTTAAAAACTTGTCATTATTGGATTTTAGACACAAATGGTCTTTTTTCATTTTTACCAAATGTCTTCTCAGAGAATAAATGCTGACCCCTGCTTTTTGCCAAGTGTAGTGGCAGGAAGGACTCGGAGCAGGATCTCTATGACCCGAGCAGACGGGTGAAGGAGGAGTCCTGAAGCCCTCGGTGGCTTTTCAGGCTTTTATTGGGATTTACCAGGTACACGGCAGGCAGGGGTGCTGGGGGGGCCGGGAGGCTGGCAGGCCTCCCAGCCCCCAGCAAGTCTTCACGCTACCTGGGCTCTCGGGCATTCTCTGGTGGCCTTGTTCTCTGCTGCTCCCCTGGTTCTTCTCTGCTCTCTGCTCTACTGGCGTCCCCATGACGCCGCCCTTATAAGCCCCGCCTCTCAGCCCAGGTGTATCCACTTATGCATGCCCACCCCCCCACTCCAGGTGCCCGCCATCAGGCATGCATTCAGGACCGCAAGGATCCATCATCAATCCTAACGGCGGGAGGGCAGAAAAGCCTGATGCTTTTTCACTTACCCTACACCAAGCTAGCGCAGTTCCCAGAGGAATGTCGCTATTACCAGCAAGAAACTAAGACACTTGGGCCCTGGGCGTTTGTATGGTTAGCTTTTCAGTCTTCCCAGGTTCAGTGCTTATTCGGTCCGTTTTTCTTTCTTTCTTTCTTTCTTTCTTTCTTTCTTTCTTTCTTTCTTTCTTTCTTTCTTTCTTTCTTTCTTTCTTTCTTTCTTTCTT